TTCTAATCAGCCCTGGGCTGCAGTCTGGTCTAACTTTTTAAAAGGTGGCCAGTCTTTAAACTGGACAAACCAACTAATAAACCTAGTTTAGATGTGCATTTATTACTTTTTTGTTTATTCCCATTCAACACTACTAATTTATATTTTCGCTCAGTTATGCTGTAATAAGGTTTGACTAGATTGATTCAAGATAGTATATGATCACAGATTATGAAATACACACTTTGATTACTTATTTAGCAAGATAGATCTTAATATTATAATACAACACTTATTATTCTTTATGTAAATTTTATATAAATTATAAGAATTACACAGATATTTTTAGAATATTATTGTATACATAGAATTATTCTCAAGGCTTTGACAAGAAATCATAAGATTTTATCAAGCAATACAAATATTTTTTCTTAGCAAACTTTAGCAGAGATATAAACAGATTAAGTTAAGGTTAATAGAATTTGGTTATATTATATATATATATATTAAGAAATAGCTATGCTCAAATTATTACCATATTTGTTTGACAAATACACACACTGGTTATTTTATTTAGCAAGAAGCTATTTCTCTATAGACATGTCAAAGATATAACGTACAAAATTCTAAAGCATAATAAACTTTGCAATATACCGCAAGTATACTGAGAAGGCAAACACTCTAAGCCACTCAATTTCTGGTACAACCAGTAAGAAAAAATTGTTTTACAAAATTATCCAAAATTAGTAGTATGAGCTAAACAATTTTAAGTAAAATGAAAAAGAAAAAAAAATGAGTTAGTTATACTGGATTGTAACTAGTATAGTATATAGAATAGTAAGTGTGTTTAGTAACAGAATTTTTGTAACAATAATTCTGATGCAACTGACTCAACTATAACTATATATATGATCATTAGAATAAGAGCTCTGTGGAAAAATTAGCCAGTATATATTATACAATTAAAATACAAACTACTCAACAACTTTAATTATATAGAAATAAAGATGTTTCCCATGCAAGCTGTAAGCTCTATAGAATTTTTTATAGTAGAAATCACTATAATTCAATTACAAACCAACTTAACTTTAATCAAATTGAAATCATAATAACTCTGGAAAAAACTAGCACAACTTTGATTACATGGAAATCATAGTTATAATACTTATGTGAACTAAAACAATCGTGTGGTGTTAAAATAGTAAGTAAGTTTTGTAACAGAATTTTTTTATAGTAGAAATTATAATAATCCAGATAAATTCTGATTACAAACTAACTTAACTTAGTTACATAAAATTATAATAATTCTAATACAATTAGCTAAACCTCAATTACATAGAAATTATAACAAGTTTATTAAAATAATCTATAGTACTAAATATTATTAGTGCTATTTCTCAAAAATATACTATATAATTAAAATTCAGGTTCTAAGTAAAAATATTTAGAACAATAATTAAACAATTTTGGCTATATGTTGTGATTATTGGAATAGCATATAAGTTTGTAACAAGATTTTTAACAGTAAAAATCATAATAATTCTGATGCATTTAATACAACATTATCATTTTTTTAAATTTAGATTTAGTTGAATCGGTGGTTTTTTTTATCTATAAATCTCATATATTTTAAAGTTTATATATAATATGTGATCAAACTGGTCCTGCATGTCATGCAGCTATCCTTATCTATTTTGTTTGAATTACTTTATTAGAAATATAAAAATACAATTTGCCTTTACATATAATACTCAAAACAGAGGACGAAACCATCTGCATAACCATGTTCTATTTATTTATAAAAAACAAATAATCAATAAGAAATCTCTTTAAACTAATAATTACTTACTAGCTCACTATGCTAACCCTGGTGGTAAAGCTACCTACATATACAATTCTAGTTATATTAATACAAAATCTATTATTATTACTCATTATTAATTATATCTTCAATTAATTTGTTAGGCAAGAGATTCTTATATACCCATACTTTAGTAATGATCTATTTATAAAATCTAATATATTTAATTAATTCTTATAATGTCACTTCAAATATATTGTCTTCATTATTAATATCTTTACACATCATATTATTTTTAAATATTGTATTAAGTATTGTATGTTGAGTAATTCCCTATTCAACTAGTTTTTTCCAGATAACACTTTCTTTTATATTGAGATCATTATGTTTAAGGATTAATTTAGCACTTTTTCTAATAAAAGAACCACTTTGGAATCAAATAGTGACTCTAAATTTTTTCAAATCATCTTCAAATATGCTTCTTTAAGTTTATTAAATTGATTACATAGATAAAATAGACTATTTACAGGACTTTGATATAAGAATTTATAAATAGGTTTGATTAAAAATCTTGAATAAAATCAACACGTTTTTGAATTAAAAATTTATTTGCAGCAACCAGAAGCTCTAAGATTATACAATATAGAATTATATTCTTAAATGGTGACTTTAAAAATTTTAATATATTACTTACTTAAGAATAAGTTTAAAAATTAATATGTCTATATTAGGCTTTGTTAAAACAAAATATTCATTATTTTTTTTAGCAAATTTATCTAATAATGTGCTACAAAAATAAGTTAATCTAGTACAAAGAATTTTAGAGTGTGTATAGATTTCGAGATTATGATTTTTGATAACTGCAGGGACAGTGAAAAATATTGATTTATGTTGATTATAAATTTTTTTAAAAAAAATTCAATGTAATATATTCTGGTTATATATTACTGATAATAGTCTATTAAAGTTTTAGATAATAGTGAACAAAATTCTAGCAAAGAATTACTTTATATATTAATATTAGTATATGGTTTTATTGATATCTAAAATGAGGGCAAAATCTTAAAGCTGATAGGTATTAATACAAAGTACATTTTTTCTTATAATAATTAAAATTTCTAATTTTAGCGATAAATTAAAGCAAAGTGAAATTTAGTTTGGTTTAAAGTTATCTTCTTCTTAATAAAGTGGAGTTTATGTAGCATGTATATTATCTTCTTTAGTAAATGATTAGCCTATATGTGCCACACAGCAGCACATATAAGCTAATTACTTACTTTAATGGATATCAATTGTAATAACTTTATTATTATAATTAGTGGCTTGCTATTTAAAGTAAAATTGGTTTTAAATTTTGTCAACTTTTGATTTAATTATTAAAAAAGATTCAAAATCCTAGTATGATCACATAAAATATAAAAGGAATTGTTCCTCTCAACTTTTTTGTTGATTTTTGAAGAATCCTTTTTTGGTTAAAATAATGATTTTCATTTATTCATCTTTAGAAAGTGTTAAATATTTTTGCAAATAACATAATTATGCTATTATATTATTATGATAATAATTTTAATTTTGAGACAGTCTAATTACATAGCATCCACATGATTTATCTTTCTTATTAGCACAGCAATTAATATTTTATTTTACAAGTCTAATCGATTTATTGAACCCGAATTATTAATCATATCAACTTTTGCTGTGCTAATAAAGGAGATAATTCATATTGGTAAACCATCTTATTGATTTTTATTTTGAATAGTCATCTGTGAAATATAGATCTTTGTCTTGAAAATGACACTACAGTATCATGTACTATAAGATTATTTTCAAGGCAAAGACCCCATATATTTTAACTGTTAAAAAACTTAACTATGAATTATTGAAATAGAAAGTAAGTTTTTACCTAACTTTTTCTATAGTAGTTCATATTAATTTTAATGCAAACTAACTCAACTACTTACTAAAATCATAAAATAGTAAGTTCTATAAATTTTTATAGTGTCACAAATTTTTTCAATGTACATGTAACTTAGAATCGTGTAATAAGTCACTAATCCAGCAATCAGGTGAAATCGGAAAAGAGTATATGATGTAATGAATAAATTGGTAATTCAAGAGTCAAAAATAAGTGGCATAACTAATTGCATTAATAATGTAGTCATAATATCATAGTTTATTAGGTCAATCGCATTAACAATGTAATCAGATAGATTAATAGAATCGATTGAGCAATTAGAAGAAATGTATAAATAGCAAAAGCATAATTAATAAGAAAAATATCTTTTGATTACCCAACATAATAATAAAAGCATTGCATACACATAATATCATAAATACAAACACATTAATAAATATAATAAATAAAATTGAATAAAACATATAGAACTAAATAAATGCAAGTAGATAGTAACAACTAAGTAAATAATTGTACGAGTCTCTTGATGCCCATAATGCAAAGCCCTAATCCATCAGTCTAGACGTTTAGAAGGAATACCCACTCTAATTAACCCCATAACAAAGTAGGACCTGGGCAAATCACTTAGTCTCTTATTCAATGTCAGAAGGCATTTGAGAAAATCAATTAGTATAACGATATTAATCAATAATAAATACAAAACAGATGACTACAGATAAAACTAAACCTTTCTATCATGGTGAAGAAGGCGAAGATATCAAAGGGTTCTTGCTCGATTTCAAAGCTTATGCTATATCAAAAGACTGGAATGATACCCGTAAATGACAAGTACTGGGTCTATTTGTGGATGATAATTTAAGGCTGTGGATAAGAGGCTTGATCAAGACCAAGACCACTTGGACCAATTTAAGAAAAAGTGTTGTTGATGAAGCATCCGCCTCATATAATATTGAAGAAAAGATAGATAGGTTGATGAACATTAAACAAATGAAAATGAATCAATAAATAGCTATACTAACCGATTTGAAGCTTATACTGAACCTATAAAAGTAGAAATTCAGGAAAGAGAAAAGAGATGTTGGGCTCAAGGGAAAGCTTAAAGATAAGATGGAGGAAAAATATTCAGAGACATATGCAAAGGCGAAGCAAATTGCTTAGAACATTAAAATGTATAATAAGAATATTGAATATGACGTGAAGAAAGCTAATAAGACACTTATACAAAAAACACCTCAACCTAATAAAGAAGATATTGAGGTAATCCAATTAACGGAAGCATTCGAAAATCTCAAGTTACGACATGTAATGGATTGTTCTTCAAATAAATTAGAAGAAGTTAAGAAAATGGTGAATGAACTCACCAAGACTGTGAATGATGTGACGAAGAGCCTAAAGATATGGAGAAATTCTGAACCTCATAAGTATTTTATATACCAAAAAATGGGTCATATTTCCCACAATTGTCCTAATAAGCAACAAGTAAAGAGTGAAACAAGTAAAGGGACCAAATCAGAACGAATGATAAAACAGACTAACGTGCGTTTTTTTGAATTCGTAAATAATCAAGAATGTCAGTCTGTGAGGAAGGTTATAACAGAAAAGGAATTGGCCGTTGAAAATTGTTTGAAGATAGAAATTGACTTAGACAATGAAATATTTGATGTAAGGGCCTTGAGTAAGCGGCACTATGCTGAAGTAAGAGATGTTCCCAATAAAAAGGGAAAAATGGTTAGTAAAAATGAAACAACAATAGAACCCAACCTCAAGATAAAAAAACAATATTATACATCCCGATAGCTGAATTGGTACAGGAACTTGATGTGCTTCAAAAGGTTGCTAAATTAGAGGTGACCATAATGTTAGGACAATTATTTAAGTGGTCCCCAAAAGCAAGGTCAGAGGTCTTGAAGTCACAAAAAGGAGTGTGATGTAATACAAATAGATGCACAAATTAGTCTTGTTAAAGCAGTACAAGAAAAGACTTAACAAAGTTATGATGAAATAGTATCTACACAAAATGCCCTAATTAATAGTGACAAGGTTAAAGTTCCCATAGACCCAGGGTCCCAATTAAACTTAATACACATAGATTATGTAAAAAAAAGAGGCTTTGAATAGCAGGAAGTGGAAGGAAGAGGAAGAATGGCAGACAACCGAGTAAGTAAGTTTATGGGATACATACCTGAACTTGAGATTGAAATGGAGGTAGTAATAGTTAGTGAAGGGTTTTATGTAATGGAAAATGCAAGTTTCAACGTACTTTTAGACATGTCTTGGATTGCGAAAGCTCATTGTGAACTAAGATGGGATGACAACCAATACTGGTGTACCATTTCAGCCACGAACAGAGAATCTTCTTTATCGTATCTGTTATGCCAAAAGAGTGGTTTCGGCATGTAAATGATAGGAGCTCGGTCAATGACAATGATGATGAGTTAAGTGATAAAGAAGATGTATTTATGGTGAAAAAGTTAAATAAAATAGGAATTGAGGAATCAGATATAAGTAATATGCTAGAAAGAGCTATTAACAGGAATAAAGTGAAAGTCAAAGAATCCTACCTGTAGATGGCAAATATATATTACGAAGGGCATGTAGTATATTGGGATTTGGAAAAAGAAAGAAATGATGGAACAGTTGAAGGGTTGGATGCAGCAGTCATTATGAGAATAACTAAAGAAAATTGGACTGATATCGACATAGGACTACATGTTTCTAAAATGCAAAAGAAGGAATGCTGATAGGTTGTCAAGACGCCCTGAAGAAGTTAAGTATGAAGAGATTACTGATGAACAATTTATTGAAGGAATGTTGATGCATGTAGATCAGAGATGGCATATTATAATATTGGATATTTGGACAATTTGGACATTTGGATAGGTATGAAGTCGGGGTGGTTTGCTATAGGCATTAGGAAATGTCCAGGAGGTGGAAAGGATTAAGTGATCGCTAAGAG